GCTTGGTGTGAACAAATCAACTGTGGGAGCAATAATTAGAAAATGGAAGACATACAAGACCACTGATAATCTCCCTCGATCTGGGGCTCCAGACAAGATCTCACCCCGTGGGGTCAAAATGATCACAAGAACGGTGAGCAAAAATCCCAGGACCACACAGGGGGACCTAGTGAATGACCTGCAGAGAGCGGGGACCAACGTAACAAAGGCTACCATCAGTAACACACTACGCCGCCAGGGACTCAGATCCTGCAGTGCCAGACGTGTCCCCCTGCTTAAGCCAGTACACGATACAGATTTCAGTACATGAAACGTGGCTGGGTCTTCCAACATGGCAATGATCCCAAACATACCGCCCGGGCAACAAAGGATTGGCTTCGTAAGAAGCATTTCAAGGTCCTGGAGTGGCCTTGCCAGTCTCCAGATCTCAACCCCATAGAAAACCTTTGTTTGGGAGTTGAAAGTCCGTGTTGCCCAGCGACAGCCCCAAAACATTACTGCTCTAGAGGAGATCTGCATGGAGGAATGGGCCAACATACCAGCAACAGTGTGTGCCAACCTTGTGAAGACTTACAGGAAACGTTTGACCTCTGTCATTGCCAACAAAGGATATATAACAAAGTATTGAGATGAACTTTTGATATTGACCAAATACTTATTTTCCACCATAATTTGCAAATAAATTCTTTCCAAATCAGCCAATGTGATTGTCTGGATTTGTTTTCTCATTTTGTCTCTCATAGTTGAGGTCTACCTATGATGCCAATTACAGGTCCTCTCTCATCTTTTTAAGTGGGAGAACTTGCACAATTGGTTGCTGACTAAATACTTTTTTGCCCCACTGTATGTAAAATTCTGTCTAGGCACATTATGCTTGAAGGCCCTTGCCTTTTTTCAGCGCACATAAAAAAACTCTCCTTTTTTCTTATTATAAACAAAATATAGATTTTATACATGTTGCAACATTTTATATACTAGTTTAGTTTATATATTTTTATATAAATATATCTTTTATTTGCTTATAGTCTTTCATATTTGTTATATACTGTATTCATATAGATTCCATATATATATATATATATATATATATATATATATATATAAAAAATCATAACTCACTCAAAATAATTTATTGTTAAGCTATGCTAGCTTTTTCCAATTTTCAGAATAGAAAAACTACGCTATCAAACAACTTCACAAGCAGCTTTGATCCTGCAACATCAGAATGTTGATGCAACAGAATGAAAATTGATACAATCTAATTAGCTGTCCTTTCAGCATATGATATTCTCTCTGCTAAAGACATGCTTCCCAAACAGTATGTCCTTTTGGTCTTAGGCTAGCTTCACCTCTTTGCGGGTGAGAGACGCACTCAAAATTATGCATGTTCCCAACCCAAGAGAAATGTGCTGCACCTTAGCAGATGTGCAGGGGGGTCCCATTAATTCCTAATAGCACTCTGACGTAATGGTAGCCGCAATGCGATTCTGTTTACAAAACGCATGGTGCCACAGCACCATGTGATTCCATGCGGATCAGTTTCTAAAAGGGGTCAAGGAATTCTTTCACCGCATTTCTTGTGGGTAGCAGCCCATTGAAAGGAATAGACTGCCGTACCTGTGACGCAAACACATTTGCACATAGTTGAGCCTTATTCTTGAATATAGATTTTCTGTCATTAATATAAAATATTTTGGAAGAATATAATTGCCTGTTATAGGGGTTTTAACTATTGTCGATTCAATATGTATCACTTTTTGGTTTTATTGAGCCCTGTAGTCCCACATCAACAAAGTTCATCAAGGTATTTCTTCAAAGCAGATCTACACAAGGTCCACTATTCCCTATGACAAGCCTGGGTTCACTCAAGAGTGGTGGGGAAACTGCATGCTATTTGAACAGGAATCACATTTCTGATCAAATCAAATGATTTTCTTTGCGGTGCAATTTGCCTCCGTACATTTTTCATTGATGCAAATCGCACCGCAAAGTATCGGTTTCAGGTATTGGGAACATTTTCACGAGTACTCTTGAAAATACTCGGTATTGGCACTAATACCAATAGCAGTATCGGTGCATCCCTAGTTATAACCAAACTAATGTATGCATTCATTTCTTTTGGATGACGTCACATGATGCGATAGTAGTTTATAGTCAAACATCGTTTTTATTGATTTCTCAAAATATAAAAGCATTACAAAGTTAAGTCAGTGAGCGGTACGTTTGTATAAGAACAGAAACAAAAGTTTACAACAGAATCCAAGGATAGGCTATGTGACTCTACACCAAAAACCTAATCTGACATACAGGGCCGGGATAAGGGGCGGGCAGAAGGGACAGCTGCCCTGGGCTCAGCAGTTTACTGTATGGATAGGGGCACCAGTGAGCTCATTGGGATACTGTGATACAAGGCATTTTGACAAGTGAATGACTGCTGGGGAGAGCATCCCCTAAGCTCTGACTTAATGAAAAGGGGGGGGCGTAGTTTGGCTTCTTTGCCCTGGGCGTTGGATAACCTTGTCCTGGCACTGCCAACATATGTATACAACAGAGGTCTAGAAATGATCATCCTATATGGGTCAAAGGGTTGGAATAAGGGCCAAAAACCTAAAGCAGCAAATTGACCACAGTAAATGGGATACAGGTGTGTCCCACTGAAAGGACAAGAGAATAGGATCAAAAAATAGAAACAAGGAAGAAATTATTTATTTATTTCAGGTACTTATATACCTGAAATACCGTAAAGCGCCGTCAATTTACACAGCGCTTTACATACATATATTGTACATTCACATCAGTCCCTAACCCTCAAGGGGCGTACAATCTAAGGTCCCTAACTCACATTCATACATACACATACTAGGGCCAATTTATATAGGAGCCAATTAACCTACCAGCATGTCTTTAGAGTGTGGGAGGAAACCGGAGTACCTGGAGGAAAAACCCACACAGTCGCAGGGAGAACATACAAACTCCAGGCTGGTGGTGCCGGGGTTGGAATTCCAACCAGCGACCCAAGTACTGCCAGGCAGAAGTGCTAACCATTTAGCCACTGTGCTGCCCATGAAAAAAAAGGAAAGAAGGCGTGATATTCGGAGGGGACCAGAGGCCAGGGATGAGAAAGAAGTAGTGGGAACCATGTCCCCTATGAAGAGGGAAACCTGTTCAGCAATGTGGTGAGCAAACCAATGATAACTCCTTGATGTATATTCGATAGTAGTTTAAGTCCATGGGGAAATTACTTCAATTTTCGAATTCATTTGATCCTTCCTATAATGATTAGATCCGAATTTTGTTCCATTCATTAAGCTGGATGTACATGATGCCAGTCAATTTTGTACAGTCAGCTCATGCCATTCCTCTTGATGGGTTGGACTCTGAAATGATTGAACCCGTCTGACAATATATCGAATGTATAGCAGTCTTCCAGAAAAACTGAAATTTTTTTTGAATCCAACGAATATATGAAATGAATGCCAAAGATATAAAACAAATTCCGAAAATTAATCGGTTCAATATAATGAATATGACTAAAGCCCCTTTCAGACAGAGCGGACCTGTCAGCATGATTTTTCCATGATCTTTCCCCGCTAAGCAGGCAGATGACAGGTCTCTGTCTGCTCTGCTGCTGCGGAGTGAACACAGACATTGCCCGCTGATGTCAATGGGACGGTCGGATAAAAACGGACCACTTGTTCGTTTCCACCCGATTGTCATCAGATCCGCTGGACGAATGGGGAACGGATCCCCATCTGTCTGTATTTGGCGTACAGAATCAGATTGGATGCCAGCACGTGTCAGCGACTATTGTCTGCTGACACCCATTGGTCCATAAAAGTTTATAGATGGACCGATTGGGTCCTCCTGAAAAACGGACAGGCGGGCCCCATCGGTCCATTCGTGTAAAAGGGGCCTAAACAAAACTCAATGAATAAATGCATCTGAAAGGATACAAAATGAAAATATCCAGCATTATTATTATTATTCAGGATTTATATAGTGCCAACAGTTTGTGAAGCGCTTTACAAGATGAAGGTAGACATTACAGTTACAATACAATTTGGTACAAGATGAAACAGAGGGCCCTGCTCGTTAGAGCTTACAATCTAGGAGGAAGGGTTGAATCTAGGAAGAAGGGCTGAGTGATACAAAAGGTAATAGCTGTGGGGGGATGAGCTAATGGAGGAAATAAAAGGCAATTTACTAGTTAGAAGCAGGATAGGCTTCTTTAAAGAGAAATGTTTTTAGGGATCATCTAAAGGTGGATAGATAAGGAGACAACAGGACAGATTGGAGTAGGGAGTTCCATAGGATGGGAGAAGCTCAGGAGAAGTCCTAGAGGCGAGCATGGGAGGAGGAGACATGGGAACTAGAGAGCAGGAGGTCTTGGGAGTATCAAAGAGAGCGGTTTCAAAATGCGTCAGTATGACCAAGAATCTATCTCCCTTCCGGATGGAACTCACACATGTCTTCTAGCCCTGTTTTAGTTTGGGATGTTATATGCCTTTTTTACTACTACTCTTGAAAGTATAATTTAGCAATAAATTCATGAACTGTTTACTGAGGTAATGCGCAAGGTAGGTTTTGTTGTCTACTACAGTCAATATCGAGCTTCCCCAGCTTCGTGTTAGAGCTGCATAACCTTTGATCAGTGTTGGATGAACAATATCATTTTACTCGATCGGCCCTCCTCTGATCTGAGTCCTCGAGCGCAGGAGGTGGTGGATGTGCGTCGATCAAGGACATAAAGGACTGAGTTGTATGATTCCACTGACTGTCCTAGAAATAGGAATATTTTGGAGGACTTATGATGGAAATAAGACTTTCTACTGTACTGCTGTGATCAGTGTCAGTTCCCTGTGTCGTCCTGTAGATGGCGGTATGATGCCTCGCTCCATTATACACATGCTCTGGGAAGGCAAGGTGTCAGCTGTCATATGATAAAGCGTCTTCACATCTCCCATTCTCTGCCATTGTGTCGGGCTCACATGGCCCCTGGCATGGATCTGATGGCCCCGGGTCTTCTCTTTGTTATTGCTGCTGCTTTTACCTGTGTATCTGCAAGTAAGTGACCTATTTACTGTATATCCAATATATAATACATAGTATACCCAATACGGGCCATAGAACAAGTCCTGGGTTTATTATGTAGACATGACACAGAGGGATCTAGCTGATCACTGTCATCCTACTATCAGATATGATCATTCTGTAGACAGTCCTAGGTGTGTGTCTAATACACTGCATTACATACAGGGGATTAGCTCCAATCATAGACAAGAAAAATCACTGCTTCCCAATGTATAGGAGGCCATGGAATAGGAGAGCAGGCATTATTTATTTATCAGAAATCATTATTGTATAAACATCATAGTTTTTAGATTACATTATTATTATACAGGATTTATATAGCGTCAACAGTTTGCTCAGCGCTTTACAATATAACGGGAGACAATACAGCAACAATACACTTCAATACAAGAGGGTTCGGAGGGCTCTGCTCCTTGGAGCTTACAATCTAAGAGACATGTTCATGCTCTTGTATTGTATAGCTCTCCCTTCGTACATTTTAAAATAAAAATAATTACATTAATTTAATTAAAAATGAAAAGTCTTACGTTGGGCAAATAATAGTGATTGTCCATTTCATGTCCAAAATGCCCAGTTGTTTGTCCCCCCACCCCCATAAGCATAGTTGGCCTGCAGTGTCCATTGTTGCCTTCAGAATTAAAGGAACCAATCACAATTGGGTTTATGCAAGGATCTCAAGCTATTTAAAACATGTTCTGATATGCAGCGGGTTTGCTTCTCTGCATCCATTTTTGTCTTTGACTTTAAAGTGTTACTAAACCCAGGACCCTGCATTCACTATATCTGGTCTCCCACAGTACACACTACATGGAAATGCAATTATTTCAGTAAAAATAAACTGCTAAATACCTTTTCTCATCAGCAGTTAGAGCAGTTTTGTGACTTCAGCAGAGCACTGGTTAAAGCTTCTAGGAAGAGTTTTCTTTCTGCTCTTGGAGGATGCAAAACCCCTGACCAGGGGCGAACTGACCATTTGGGAACTCGGGCACTGCCCGAGGGCCCAGGGTCAGTGGGAGGCCCTATGAGATGCCCCTGATACCTTTCATAGGCTTTTTTGGGTGTGGTTTGAGTGTGGGCGAGGATACAGAGGCCTCATGATCCCCTATTGCCCGGGGCCCCAAGAGTCCGCCCCTGCCCCTGCCCCTCTGTCTGGAAAATGCTAATTGGCCCCTTGCTAATCACATGCACCCTCCCAAGAAAAAAATACCTCTCTAGCAATACGCACTAAACTGAGCATGTGCAGAAGGGCTACGGGTCCAGTCTGATTATCAGGTGGAAATTTGAACAAGAGGAGGGGCAGAGAAGACAGGATCAAACAGCCTTTTTACACAGTGCAGAGGATTATCCCCTTAGGTTCCACAGTGAGTATAACAAGCATGCTTTACTACATATACAGTACAGACTGCTTTTACTGTTGTGGGTGTAGTAACACTTTAAGGCTGTTTAAAATAAAAAATAAACATGTCATAATTACCTGCTGTGCGTAATGGTTTTGCACAAGACAGCCCCGATTCTCTTCTTCTTGGGTCCCCTGCCACCTTCTTCCCCCCCCCTGCTGAGTGCCCCCAGAGCAAGACACTTGCTATTGGGGTACTCAGGCATGTTTGCTCCTGAGCCCCCCTTTGTATGTCTGTATAATGCACAGAGATTGTGGCTCACCCCCTTCCCCATCTCTCTCCTCACTGGCTGTGATTGACAGCAGTGGGAGTCAATGGCTGTCACTGCTGTGTCTTAGCCACTGAGGAGAGAGAGACAATGAGGAGCTACTGCTCTCATGCACATCACTGGATTGAGATTGGGTCCATGTAAATATTTGGGGGGGGGGGGGCTGCGAGGGGAGCAGCAGACAGAAGGTTTTCTACCTTCATGCATAGAATGCATGAAGGTAAGAAAATTTCAGCCTTTACAACCACTTTAAAGTGTAATTCAAGTCAAGTCAAAACCAAAGTAAGTTTAAAGCAAAGCCCCACCCAAAAGGGAAAGTTCCAATTTAAGACACCCGCCCTCCTCCTCTGCCTAACTTGGCATGTCATTTTGGAGAAGGGGGTGTGGGCACCTTGTTTTGACAGGTACCCTCTCCCACTTCCGCTTGGTGATCTGAGTGGAGGTTCTCCTCTCCCCTCCCTCTCCGCAGTCTTCTGGAACATGTAACAGGTCCCAGAAGACTACAGGACCATTCACAAAGTGCAGAGCGACTCGCGCATGTGCAGTGGGCACCCAGCTGTGAAGCCAAAATCCGCACATCTGGTTGCCCACAGTTACCAACCCGGAGGCTAGTGAAGAACCAGGGGGAGGACAGTGCTGGATCCTGGGACAGGTAAATGTCCATTCATTAACCATTAGCCGCCTGGCCAATGGCCGTTTAGCGGTCGGCAAAATCCTTCAGCGTTCCCGGTGGACGCCATATGGCGTCCTCCCGGGCATTCGCAGTTTGCTCGCCTGCAGAGCTGCGCAGTGGCACGATCTGTCACCGGCCGCGTACCTCGGATGTGGCCGATGACAGATCTGAGTACTGGCCCCGTTGCCGGAACCATGTGACCAATCACAGCAGGTCACATGACAGCTGTATACAATGGATGGCTTCATTCATGCCATCCATTGTATTCTAGTGTGCCTAGCTGTGAATGGTCACAGCGATCACATGCACAAGCTGGGCCAATCACAGCCCAGCTGTGTCATGTGATTAGCCGTGGCCAAATCACAGCTAAGCACAAAAAAAAAAAAAAAAAAGCCCTGAATGAATCGATGTCATTCAGGTAAATGCTTGCTTATAGCAAAGTAATTCTTTGCTATAAGCAAATTGTGTAAAAAAAAAATACTGATCACTTCCCCAAAGTAGTACAATGTTACTATGGTAAAATTGTACTACTTTGGTCAAAGTGAAATATGAAAACTAAAATCTTAAAGAAAAGAAAAAAAAGTAATAAAAAATTAAAAATAATAAAAAAAAATTAAAAAAAAAAATTACATTTTTTTTTTCATACTGTCACCAGTCAGTGTCCCTGATCACCGCCATGCCAGTTATATGATGACGCTGTACTGCACCGGTGACAGTATGTAAAAAAAAAAAAGTGAAAATAATTCTTTTACTTTTTTAATTTTCTGAAAAATTATGACAAAAAAAATACAACTTCAAAAAAACTCGTCATGCCTCTTATGAAGTACGTCGGACTGTCTACTTTGCAAAAAGGGGTCATTTGGGGGACATCTGTACTGTTCTGACATTCTTGGGCCTCAAGAAATTAGATTGGCTGTCAGTACTTCAGGATTGATCAATTTTCAGATCTATACCATAGTTTGTGAACTCTATAACTTTCCTACAAACTAAAAAATGCATCCTAATTTCGGTTATTTTCACCAAAGACATGTAGCAGAATACATCTCGGCCTAAATTTATGAAGAACAATTATTTATTTGCAAACTTTTATAACAGAAACAAAGAAAAACATGTTTTTTTGTTATTTTAGCAAAAAATAAAAACCCCCAGTGGTGATTAAATACCACCAAAAGAAAGCTCTAGTTGTGTGAAGAAAATTATAACATTTTAGTTTGGGTACAATGTTGTATGACCGCGCAATTGTCATTCAAAGTGTGAGAGCGCTGAGACCTGAAAAATGGCCTGGGAGAGGGTAAAAGTGCCCGGTATGGAAATGGTTAACAGTCAGCTGCTATAGCAGTGGTTCTCAACCTTCCTAATGCCGTGACCCTTTAATACAGTTCCTCATGTTGTGGTGACCCCCAACCATAAAATTATTTACCCAGTAATTATAATTCATGAGAGTCGTTTTACCTCCAATACTGCTGCTTTCAACACAGTAGCTGCTTTAACAGAGTAGCTGCTTTCAACACAGCAGCTGCTTTCTACACAGTAGCTGCTCTTTACACATCGGAAATATGTGTTTTCTGATGGTCTTAGGGGACTCCTGTGAAAGAGTCGTTCGACCCCCAAAGGGGTCGCGACCCACAGGTTGAGAACCACTGTGCTATAGGATCTGTAGCTGCTGACTTCTCTTTTTATACAGACTGAACCTCTGCTTTAAATCTCCTCTAATCTCCATTCTAAGACTATTTTGTCTAAACCTGTAAAAGGAAAGATGCCTATACTTACGGTACCTATTCTGAAGTCTCTGCAGTCCAGTCACATGATCTCTGCAATGGCGGTTCAGTGTAGAGGAGGGACTGCGACAACGGCTGCGGAACCTGGGCGACATCACCCATAGACTTACTATGGGGCATCCATTGTCAGCTGTCCCTCCTTTACACTGAAGCCGGATCTGGGACCCGGTTATGTGACTGTACTAGAATGACTGCAGAATAAATATAGACATCTTTTCTTTTCCAGGTTCACAATGAAGAGAGGGGAGTATATTTTAGCTGAGGTCTTGACTAGAATTACACTTTTATTATAAGGCCTCTTACACACAGGGCTTCAAAAACACCACTTTTACAGGCGTTTGGCTTTTTTTTTTCTGTATGTAAATGCACCTCTATGTTAGCCTATGTGTCCATGCACACATAGGCATTTACAGGTATATTGAAGAGCGTTAACATGCAGAAATAGAAAAAAACGCATTACCGGTGGGTTCATGAAAGGAGCTGAAAAGCAGAAGCTCATGCACTATTTTGGGCTTCAAGCTTTGCACATTTTTAATCGCATACTTTGCCCTGTTTGGTGAGTTTTTGTTTTTTCTTGCACAACACTGTGCGTATTGCTTGCCACATTTGGGGTGCCGTTAACAATGAAGGATGCACGTTTTAAGAGGCCTTTAGGGCTGTAATGCACATACGCATCTATGAGCTTTAGAGCTTTCTGTGCTAAGAGCGAGCTCACTGCGAGCTACCAGCATAGTGATCGAGCTGTGTCAAATATAGCTTTTGGTCCATACTGATGATAAGAAGTTGGTGTGTAATCATGTGATCAGCAGATCCTTCGTGCGTATACGGACCCTGTTAACCACTTCCAGTCCGGACAC